AGAAACACACAGCTGTTTGTTATATTGAAGACAGAGAAGAAAAAAAATTGAAGGAAACTTGAGGTGTTTGATGCATGAATCATATTTTTATTTCTTATCAGGATATAAATATTTTCTGTGTTTTGACCACGCATTCTATAAAAAAAAATTCAGATTTATGATTACAAATATGGACAGATTTAGACAAGGCGGTTTTAACTACCTATAAATTATACAGAAAAGATAATGTATTCATAAAGCCTGCAGATCACTGTAATGAATTAATACACAGCTGACAGAAGTATAACTTAGTCTTGATGTTTTCAATTGAAAGTGTGGTTTTAGCATTTGACCACATTCAGGTAAGCGTAACCATACGAGCCCGTCAGTTACTGCAAGAGTGTGTATCACAAACAATTTTATTTTATGATTGTCCAATGATTAAACATAGGAACGATTAATATTTCAAAACCTAAGGAAGATAAGATATAAAACACCGAAAAGACCAACAAGGATTGTTAATTTTTGATTTTTTTCTTTTTTCTTACAGTTATATTGGTCTAACAACATTTTGCAGTGGGAAGAGGAAGCCACTGTGATATTTTGGAAAGGAATTTTTGTGAATATGGTCCGCTAGAAAGAGAGGATCCTCAAAACAATTCACAGTTTCTACTGGTTGAAAATACAAATGTCGTCACAAAGTAAGAATCGATTTAGTTTCTTTACTTGTAAGCCTTCTTAATTTCAAGTAATAATTATAATTTTGATATTTGATCTTTTCAGCATATCTACTTTCTTCTTATATAATATTAGTATTTCTACTAATATAAGCTTGAAACTAGTTATTTAAGCTCGATATATAACGTCCCCCTTATATGAGATTAGATGTATTAGTCTACAAATATTGCCAGCTTGGTCTTAGGTTTGCCAATCAAGGTCTTTGTGTTAGAGCCAGATAAAGAATTTTAACTCCTTATCAAAGTTACAAAAAATGTTTGCTTTTTCTAATTTTTGCAATTTATCTTGATATTGTAAATCTCTGATATGTGGATATTATGTTTTCTGAAGGATTGCATATATCCGTTATTTTTTTTTGGTCCATTTCCGAAAAATTCTATGTTGTACTAAAATGCCTTATGTGGAATGTAGTTTAATTTTGCCACCCCCGAAAACTATGGTATGCACATTAGGCTAGTTCCACTGCATCAAATATAATCAATTTTAAATAGTATTTTATTTTGGTTTTTCGACTTTCCCTATACATATGTATTTTTTTTCTATTTTTTAAGTATCTGATATAATATCTAGCTCAAATCACTAAGTAAAGAAAGGGTTCGTCAGGCTGATCAAGTAATTTACTAGACTTAGTTTTCGCAAAGTATCGGACAATTTTCGATAGTATTTACTCAGTTTTAGATTTTTTATGTAAAGTAAATACATTTGTTAAACAGACATTAGAAAAAGACGGAACTTAATTTGTCATAAACACACTGATCTTCGCTATTAATTCTACTGGCTCGGTGATTTTAGATAAATTACATTTAATCAAGAAACAAACATAATTTTTTTTTACATGGTTGTTTTACCCTAACAAAAAATTACTATAGTTAACTATAGTTAACTATAGTTTACTATAGTTAACTATAGTGATAACTTTGACACTTTGAAAAACTTTGACGAAAACTTTGACACTTTGAAAAACTTTGACGAAAACTTTGACACTTTGAAAAACTTTATTGAAAACTTTGACACTTTGAAAAACTTTGACAAAAACTTTGACACTTTGAAAAACTCTATCGAAAACTTTGACAATTTGAAAAACGAAAACTTTGACACTTTGAAAAACTTTGACAAAAACTTTGACACTTTGAAAAACTTTGGCGAAAACTTTGACACTTTGAAAAACTTTGGCGAAAACTTTGACACTTTGATTTACTATAGTTAACTATAGTAAACTATAGTAAACTATAGTTAACTATAGTATTTTTTTGTTAGGGTAGGCTGCTCTAAATCTTGGAATGCTTTCTGACTTTATTTTAAAATGTATTTGCAAATTGAACATATTGTACAAGAACCAATATAAATACTCTAAATTTCTAAATTTTAACGTTAATTTAAAAGAATCATTGAGACAAGTCAAATACCCATGAACAAACAAACACCCTCCAATAGTACTTTTAAAAAAATATCTAATGTAGAGATTCTAAACAGAATGAGTTATTTAGTTTGAAAACATTATACTATTGTTTGCCTTGAATTCTTTCGTGTCATTTACCTATGTGGATATACCAAATAAGACAATTTTAAAATATACAGTAAACAGTTATAATTTATTTAATTTTCACAAGACAACTAATTATGTTGATGTTTAACACTTGTTAACATATGCTTTTTTTAATCACTATAACATTGTTGTAGGTCCACTAAATTGCCATTTCCATACAAATGAAGCACCAGTTTTCAAAGATTCACATGATTAGCACCAAAAATAAAAATATAATCCTGGAATCCAAAAATAGAGAAAAAAGAATCAAAAACTTAAGTCTCTAAATCATTAGACTTTTTAAAATGTCCTTTTATTCATGTGTAAATTCATTTGATTGATATGCCAAGTTCAAAAACACATTCAAAATGACCGATTGCGGGGGACCTTCCGCCCTTTATCTAATTTATTAGCTTTACAAGATGTATGCAAGATATATTTTTGATCTATGATAACCTATCGCAGTGTCCCAAATAAAACAGGTTCTATAACAGATTGTCAACTCAATGTCGTGTCTCTGTCTTCTATTTCTCAATTTTTTTTAAAGGCTTATTTATGGAATTATGGAAACTTCTCTCACGTTATTCTATTCCTAAAAAAAATCAGAAAGATTCCTCTTTAAGATACAAACGTTTTTTTTCATACGTACCCCTGCGTAGGGTTCTTAAGGTGTAAATTATTCTCTTTCTCTATTTGAGTTTAAGATCAAATAATTTGATTATCGCCGCCCAGTTCTTTGGGATTCTTTCACTGTTTTCTTTTATTTTATCCTGTCTCTTATTCTTTATTCTTTTCCCTAATTCTTCAGCTCAACACGAGCTCTGAATTCAAAAGATTCTGATACTCTATATGCAGTCTTTTACACACCCTTTCGAATAGTCTACATTATGGGAACACATCTTGGTCTTTTTTGAGTTTTCTGTTTTCGCTAGTCATTTGAATTGAAATGTGTCTATTTCTTTGCTATAGGAATGCTTATTTCTCCATGACACTTAATCCTAGAATGTACCTGTGATATTTTAGAGGCCTGTGTTTGTTCAGCTTCCAATTTTATTGTTCATTCGATCTTATTACTGATCGTTATCTTCCTTATTCATTCAAAACATACCGTATAAGTGGAAATTTTAGCGAGACGCAAATTTAGCGTTATTTGTATTTTATTTTCAGCTATTTTAAAATACTCACTAGAGAAGCTTTAACAAATAAATCGCTATTTATTTTAAGTGATATTCAATATTTGCGATCTCAGTAGCCTGGCTAATAATATAATGCCAAAATTAAACCCTAGCTAAAATTTCTGCTTATTCGGTATTTAATTAGAATTGAATATTTGCTTAAACTAACGTAAAATAGTACAGAACAATTGAGCAAAGATATACGTCTCAAAATTACAGGCTTTTTCCAGCGGAGAAAATTTCACCTAGGAATGAGTTTACTTTATATAGTATTTTAACATTATGAATGAAATATATAAAGAAAACGAAATGTTCAAGCTCAGTAAGTCCATTAAGCAATACAAACTTTAACAGAGCAAACACGGACCTCCAAAATATCAGACGTTCGATCATAATTAAGTGCCATTGAGGAGTTAGCATCACCTGCCAAAGAGATTACTGATATTATTGTTTCATCAACTTGTTTGTCAATAACCAATCTCGTATCAGAAATTGTTCATACGCATATTATGCTCCTGCGTATCGAATCAACTGAGGGATAGAAACCTCGTATTCAGGTGATGAAGGCATAATGCTGCAAAAGTAAGGGAAGTTGACGATTGAAAAGTTAAAGCCATCACACTTAACACTAAGTTTGGTTGTTAGATTTAATATATCAATTAAGGCAAAACAAATATATGTGCTAAAAGTTTTAAAACACAGACAATATAAATGTCATGTAAGGACAAAAACGATAAATCTGATTTTATTTTTTATATCGATCAATCAATTGCGTGGGAGATTTGATCGTGTTAATAGACTGTTTACGTGTCATAAAGAGTGGTATCTAAACCAATGAGAAAGAAATATTTCAATAATGTCAAAAGGAAGGACACACCAATGCAAGTTAAATTCTTTTAAGCCGAATACAGTATTACATGTTTCAGCCATGATTAATGATTATGAATTCTCAAGGCGCTCTAAAACCTTTAATTTACCACGTTATCTTGCCCACGCCTTACTTCTATATCAAAAATAAAATATATTTTTTTTTACTTATAAGTCATAATCATTATGCAGATTCATTTATTCATCCATGTTTTTTCTAATCTGACACATTGCATAAACGTATAAAGATAAAATAAATTTTATCGAAATTCATTTGCTTTCTAAATACTTGTATTACATGCAACTTGTATTGAGATACCAAAGACATTCACCAAGCTTACTCTAATTATTTCAACGAGATTCTCCAAAACGTTTCCAAATTGTGGAAGAAATATGCAGTTAATATAGAATGATATTATTAGGCAAATTCAATTTTTATACAGATTTTGTTCCTTGACATATTACATACATAAAAGGTAAAAAAAAAGTTGAAAAGAATTCTAGAATACATTCCTTTTGAAGAAAAATGTGAATTTATTATTTCAAAAATAGACATAGCTCGACCTTTAATAGTTTTCCGTAATATATACAAGAGCGATAATGTATTCATAACGTCAGTCAAGCGTAACGGCCTATTTCATCACAATATGAACACTTGACTCCAAACACGAGACTTCAAAACCGATTCGTCAACTGGGCATTACTGGTCAATTTAACAGGAGGATCACAATTTAACAGTTCGTTTTACACCTGAATTTTGATTTTGACATTTCTTTTGTGTAAGACAAAGGAAGAGAGAGAAAGGGAGATCGATACTCATCAACATTGTTGAGAGGGTGAATTTAAAAATTTCAATCTCGTCATTACAAATTCATTTAAATTATTGTGAAAAATACCAGTTTTGAATACTGGCGATAAGAAAAATGAAATGGACTGATCAATGCCAATCTATGTTGAAATAATCATTTCTGCATCGTAGCAAGTGATATTTAAGGATTACTTAACACGTCAATAAGTAAGTATATTTTCACTAACTTCTTAGTCCTAGGAATGAAGGAACATCCAATTATATATAATAATTCGATTTAATTTTACGTAAACCGTTTCTTGAGTATCAATGAAAGTGTGAACCTGGCATTGAAATGAGGATTTAAAAAAAGTTTTGCACAGCACTCCTTGCATTGCATGTTAAATTCATTGAATCTCAGTTAATTTTTTTTGGCTAAAGTTTAGAAATTGAATGGAATAGTTTACCTTGCATAATTTGCATAATATGTCCTTGCACAAATTTAAAAGAAATGTATCAATCTTCACCATTTTTGTCAATGCAAAAATATCTTCAAGTGATCACTGTAATATAAGTTATAATAATTTTATAACAGCATTGCTGATATCAAATTATTTTGCAGCAATTAACTGTTCTTTTCTCTTCATGCATGTACAATCTATGTATGTAAAAATCACACATTTAGATAGTATGCTTATAATCTGTGCTATTTTCAGCATTTCTCTGGTTCTGAAAGGATACAAATTGTAAATTTGAGGAATTTCAATAATAAAGTACGAAACACACGAGAGCTACGTACGACTAAGTAATTTTGTCTTTATCTTAAGGTATCCTACCAAACTTTTCGTAGTAAGGACCATGTATATTGAATTAAAAAGTACTCACTTATACTGAAAGACTAGTTTCAAATATAAATTACAGTTATTACATGTATATAGCATCATTTTAAAGGTATGAAACCTTATAAAGGATATTTGTGATATAAAATTCATATACACTCACATTTGCTTCTGAAACAAAATACACTCCTTTTTCTTGCCTTCAAGCAATGCAAGCTATCATATCAAATCGATAATTGCAAAAAAGCTGAGCTTTACTCTTTATTTATATGGCTATAAATATGCCATTGATAAGATGAAGAAAAAACTCACAAAGAAACAATCAAACAAACAAGAAAAGACAGTGAACCTAAGTTATATTAAGGTCATTAAAACATAACATAAATATACATTTGTCATTCTATTATAATGATGACTTAACACCTCTTTGATCTTTTTAAAAAACCCACATATGTTTATGTATAAGACTGTGGTAAGATAAGGTAATATATAACTGTAATATGTGTCCTTGATAGATTGATGTTGGAGAAGAGATATTGAATTTGATCCAAAATGAAACAAAACGTAAACTAAGTACATCTTGATGAAGAATAATATTTGAAATGAATAACATTTCTAGCTCACCTCAACTAAGTTACGGGAGCTTATGTGATACCCCTGGCGTCGATGTTGGTAATGGCATCGGCGTCCAAGGTTGTAGCTGTTTTTATGTACCTCTATGCCCTACATTGATCATGTATGGATGACCCTTCTGATGTGTTACATTGTATCAGATAATGCTTTAGATGCTGCAATGTCAGCAAAGGAATGTCCATGTTAATGTTTTTGGAGAAGGTTAAAATGTTGGGTGCAGGTGAATATTTTTGATGCAGATTAAATTTTTTGGTGTAGGTCGTTGGTGTGTGTCTTATATCGCAACTATAAGCCAAATGTTTACCAAACATGCATGGATGATACATCTTAAGGATGCATACTACCATGCTTGCGACGGTTGCTGGATCTGACCTACATTTTTTGGTGCACAGGATAATGTTTTTGGTGCAGGTCTTATTTACAAATAACTATAAGCTCCATTGTTGACCAAACTTGCATGGATGACAAATCTAAGGATGCACAATATCAGACTTGCTTGAGTTAAAAGGTTTAAGTTTTTGCCTGATGCAAGTTTTATTTCCAAGAAACTATGAGCCTTATGTTAAAATAAAATTGTATGGATGAAACAATGTCCTTAATTGCTCTGCCTATGATTTTTATTGTTTAAATGGAGCTTTCAGTTTCAATAAAGTTCCTTATCATCATCTTCATTTATTTATGAATAAAAACTCCAGATTTTATTTATAATGGTGTATTATGATAAAATTAAATTAAGCATATATAAAGAAATACGGCTTATCTGCTGATTAAGGATTGTTTTCTAAAAAAATGTTAAAAGTCACCTTTTTGTAACGAACGCGCAAATTTCCTTTCTGTCAGTATGAAAAATGTTCCATGCATAAGGATGAAAAATGTGTTTTTGTATTCAAGTCTGGGAGTAAAATCCACCAGATTATTTATTCTAGAATACTGACAAGACAAAAAAAAAAAAAAAAAAAAAAGAATCATCTGTTCTAGTATGCAGTGCAATCTGGGTTGTTTATGCTTAACATGCAATCAATTAATCAGCAAACGAAGCATTTAGAAGAAAAAATAATATATATATTCACACAATACTAAAGCTGAAGGTACCACTATAATTTATCGGATAAATTAAACAACGACGTAACTTTTGAACATTGATTGAAACATATTTAAGGAATAACTTAGTAAGAATTTGGAAACAAGCAAAGCCTATGCACAGCCTCTCCTTTGTATAACAAGTGAAGCCGGATAAAATAGATATTAATTTTACAAAATGATAAACATGCTAAAACAATAAAGACTCACAATCAGATTTTAATCATTTGTATTGATACCGACGAATAAAAAAAATATTACAGATATTATCACTTTCTGAAATTATTAGAATAGGGTCAGGTTCTAAGGAGGAATTTAATAGTCCAAATAAACACAGTGATTTGCGTAATCATGTGGTCTATAGTTATAAAGTTAGAATTAAGTTTTTGCTATTACAAGGTGATTTACAATTTCAAATAGAGCTCTCTAGGTAAGCACTGCAAAGAAATCAATGTCAAAAAAGAAATGTAGTCTGTGTGACATTTTTCTGACGTTCACAACATTTCAATCCATCTGTCAGAATTCTGTTTTTGTCTACGGAAATACTATCACATTTAAATGCAGTAAAGGTGTATCTTTATTTTGCATGCTTTATAAAAGGTCAAAATTTATAGGCAAATTGAGCTATAAATCTGTCTTTGACAGATGTGCAGAAACATGCAGGGTTTTGAAGTAAGTAATGTGTTTCGTATCATAGAATGAAAAATGAGACTCGTGTATAACCTAAGCATAAAATACCTACATGTATAAGTGATTCAAAATGTGGCGTATCTGTTGAAGATCGACAGAAGAATGAATAAAAACATCCTTGTCAATGAATTTATTAATTCATATAGGAGGGGGTACATACAGAAACTTGCAGCAAACGTAATGAATGAAATGATGATGTTTTGAAAAATTTGTTAAATTTCATGAAAAAAAAACCGCCCATCAACAATTTCAAAACGGCATTCCTTCTATGCATTATCAACATGTACATTATGAGTTTATTTAGTCATCAAATAATCAGAGGTGACGATTTCCGTCAGATCAAGTTATTTTTGGTTACAAATATATACATTTTTCCCTTTAGAGTCTTATTTTTTGGTGTCAATTTCAATAAAACTACTTCACAAATAATACTGTGTTATATAAAATTGTTGAGAAATATTCCCACAATAATTAACATATGCGTAATTAATATGAAAAAATTATTCAATTAATATGGAACTGCTCAAGGAGAAGCCCTTTTATCTTTGAAGTTTTCAGGCAGAGAAAAAAACCCAGTTAGGGATGTATTTTAATTCCTTTACTGTTTTGAGTGTACTCAGTACTAAATGAAAACACCTCATTTATTTTAGACTTAAATAAGACAATGAAGATTTTTTTCTTTTCATATATATATTTTTTTTGAACATTTATCTATAATATACATTCACATGACAAACTGACTCTTTTTATACTGAGTTGTCCACGGAATTTTCCCTTATTTCCCGATCATGACAAAGGGCACACTGTAGGTGTATCCGATGCAAGGGATGCTTACTCCTCCATGGCACCCGATCTCACTTCTGATGTTTTGAAGGTCCGTGTTTGCTGCGCTTCTTTTTGTTTTTTATCAGAAATGGAATTTCTAACTCGAACACTATTCGTTATCTCCAAATATTTGATTCATCTTTTAAGGACAAAACCCAAATATATCTCAAAGTTGTTTTCTGTGTATTTCATATTCCATAAAACTCAAGCAACCTAAATACACATGTGCTCTAATATTGAACTAAACTCATCTCTGAGTATGGGATTATCAATGAAATTTGTTAGGTTATTAACTCATTGTGTACTTTGTTTTCTTTGCAGAAAGTACTGATAAATTTCCATTATCACATTGATAAATCACTTCTTCTTTTCGTTGAAAACTTTGAAATCACATCTTTTATCTTTCATTATATATATATGAATTTTAAAAACACACGACAAAAGACATCGCTGACTTTAAACAGTTCCATCTAAAGTCCAATCTACTTTGTTGACATTTTAATTTGATTTATAATACAAGGTTCAAAAGTATATATTCAAATTGACTGATTATGCCCAACCTATTCCCCTGCGTACTCCATTATATAAAACAAAGATGGATGACAGACCCACAAACCACTCATGTATACAATATTACATTAAAATGATTTATGTGAGGTCGGCGTATCTGTTACATGTAAAAGTCCTCGGCGTTTATAATCTACATTTTTTGAACGAACACAATTAGAAATTAGTTAAAAATCCTTTCAAATCAAAGACATAAAAAGAGTTTAATATCATCTTGTTTAAAAGTATACATATTTTCAATGTACAATGATTAATTGTGAGAGAGAAAAAAAATGCCAAATATTTGCCACACCCGTTAGAATTCTTGTTTATCTCTTAAAATTATAGTTCAATAATAATAAAAATATTTTCCCAGGGACACATGTAAATGGTTAAAAGAAGTTTTCATTATACATTACACGATTGTTTATTTCATTCTATTTCTCTTAAGAATTATCAAAAGTAAATACATAATTGATTTAAGACTTTTTCATATATAAATAAGAAAGAGCGTTGAACATAATTTTAAAAAAGAAATACACAAATATTAAACCACGCTTCATAACTATAGCTTTTTTTATACATTGGAATTCCAATATATCAAGTCCATAATACATACCGGTATTACATTAAAAAACCCTTTATATTAAAATGTATCATCCATTTCTTTAATTAAAAATATCCAACACAAATCAAATTCAATAAATAATTGAGAATTATTTAATTGAAATTTTATTTTTTTTCCTTATCTTTTATTTATGATATTAATATATTTTTCAGGAAACATGAAGTTGTGCCCAGTCCTCGCGAAGGAATACAATATAATTACAATAGCCAATATGGACTCTTTACAGCTGAGTACTTACAGCAGACGACCCGGAACCAAAGTCAAGGTCACTTGTCTCTCAAACACACTAAAGGTCCTCGGGCCTACGTGGCTAACCTGTCAAAATAATGGAACGTGGGATAAACCGATTCCAAGATGTGTGAGCAAAGAAGAATTCGAAGCGGAACAATTGAAAACATCTTCTGTTATAATCCCCACAGAAAAACCTATCAAAGGTACATACAATTAAATTTATTTCATGTTACACGTCTATAAAATTGATAAAGTATGCTTGAATTTGTACTTTACTATTGTAATATGATGCAAAACTGTTTTCATGCAGCAAGCAGATTTTTTTTATATCTAAAATATTGCAATGTACTCTAAAGATAAGGTAATAGGGTAATCATTTAAGAAAAATGTATATCGCACCTGGGTCGATCTTTCGTGCTTTAGATATGCTTTTTTAAAAAAAAAAATTTAGATCAATCATTTAACCTTATTCATTTTATAAAGAATTTTTTCTCAATAGAATGAAATCATTATTTTCTTTTGATGTTTGCGTTTATTTTAATAGTCGAAAGTCATGTTTTACAAAATATGGAAAGCTTAATAGCTACATATATGACAAAAAATCCTATTAGCAATTTATAAAATGCAGAAAACGCTTGAAACTAAAACTCTAATTATTGTATTATTTTCTTTTCTAGGAGCATCCTCCTCATCAGAATCTGATTCGTCATTTGGAATTTTCGCCGGAAGCATTACTCCATATATCATTACAGTCTGTGTTTTAGCCATTATGTTTTTAAGCCTTGTGTTCATTCTGACTTATTTAGTGCGCATGCGCAAACTTATTAATAGAAAAATAGAGGAAATTGAAGAAAAAGACCGCCGACCTGCACACGTGCGAATATTTGACAGGTAACTCTTAGTTTATCAAATTTTTTTTTTTAGTTACAAGGTTCTAGCAATAAAAAATATATTATAAAATTGTGAATTCTTCCAAAATGTAACTGATTAATATTTTACTTAAAATAAGCAAGGAAATATTATGTTTTGTAGTCTGCCTTCTCGACAGTCCGGTTCCACAACAGTCTATGACTACTTCCGTCAAACAAATTCTCCAACGCCAAGCGCATCAGCGTCATCACACAGCTCTGAACGCTTCAAACGCACACATGACCAGGATAGAAATGACGTCCCATATTTTAACACTTTCGACCAACGTTTTAAACGTGAGAGATACCAAGATCGACTCGAAGGCGCTCATTCACAATATGACCCGCGAGTCAGACGTGCAAGAAGTCATGAATATCTTCAAACCGCCTTTGCAAATAACTACGATGAAAGGTTACGACGGGAGCGCGACAGAGACAGCAGGTCGTTACAGTACACAGTCGCAGAGGACAGGTGGTTCAATTCGAATTACTAAAAAAATCCTCTAATTTCACGGTATTAAGGGTAAAAAAGACAGATGATTCATTTGAATTTACTTGTGATATAAAATAAATATCGGTAAAAAGGTTGGAAAATTATTTTCCGTTAAATTTTTCGTGATAGATTGAAACACTTTTTATTCCTTGAAATGATGGTTTTCGTTTTGAAGAATGAAAGGAAAATTCTTTATTCATCGGGTATGTTTATCTTTCCACTGTTCAAATATAGCAAATCCAATTTTTGTACTATTTATAAATTATAAAATGTATTTGATTCCATGTTTGGATAAGCATTCAATTTATGTATGCTTATACATTGTATGCAAGGGAATGTATTTATGTATAATATTGATGTTTTCGAGAGGAGTGTTTTATATATATATTTTTGTCTTGGGCATTATGTGTATATTTATAATTTTGTTGCGTCTCAACTTTCCAAACAGATCTGGAAATATTTGTATAAGCTATATATGTTAGCAATACTTATACTGAGAAGGGAACGATTATGCTATAAATTATCTTAATCATTGAAATACATAAAATATATATCTACATGCCTCTTTGCTTTCTTTTGTTATTTATTAAAATACCTTTTGTCAAAAAATAATACAGACGGTGGAATATTTCATTCACTTTATTATTTTACTTAACGCAAGAACATTTAGAGTTCAACCGTGTTAGTACACCTGTTTTATTTACCTACCTATATACTCGCATAACAAAATCATTTTAATTCTTTGGGAAGCAATTTTCCTGGATGTCAAACCGTTGGTAACATTTGGAGAGTGTGTAAAGCACGGATTTGTTCGGAAATTTTGGAGATTGAACCAAGTGTCTAAGAGGGATAAGCATCATTCTAAATGAGATTCAAGGATCTATTTAAAACATTGTTCCCTTTGCCAATTTTGACTTTAGAAAACATCTACAGTTTATAGTGCCAAAATGGATGCGTCGTTCAAGAAAGTACTGTGAAAATCAATTCATCTGAGTATTTTTCCAAGATGTGTGTCTCTCTTGGAATGTAACAAAATATTAAATGTTTTAAATTATTTGAAAATACATATCATCCTTACCAAACATGACTCATGGCACATGTAGTGTTAGTAAAAATAATGAAGCCTTTTATGGAGAAATGAAAATATGCTGTAGTCGCTATAGTATTATCCATATTTGAGTAAAAAGATACTTTCCCCTTTTTTACTCGATGAATAACAGACAATTCTGTTAATAACAAATCATTTTCCATTCTGACATCGTCTTTTGTTTATCAAAAATATTTCGTATTATTAGAATGCCATTTTGATTAAGAAATATTGATTCCTCAATATTTATTTGTATTAATATTAATACCATTTATCATTGAGTCAAATGCTGACTGACGTTTTTCATACTCATTGTTAGTCCATTATTTAAACACTGAATTGATGACAGTTTTCCCGTTATTTTCCGATCATGACAAGGAGCAGACGGCGGGTGTTACCGGTCAGAAGGGGATGCTCACTCCTCCATTGCACCTGATCCCGACTCTGGTGTTTTAGAGGTCCGTGTTTGCTCTGCTCCTCTTTTGTATTGTTTTATGGACTTTGATATTGAATACTGTTCGTTATCTTCATATCCTTCATTCCAAATATAATCTCTCTGACATCACATGACAGTTTTCAAATTAGAGAACAAATCAAGGGAGGAGTAAAAAAATCTACAGCTGCTTTATAAACGATGAATTGAAGCATAATGATATAAGCGAATTCCATATTTTAAATATACATGTATTCGATTTCCAGATCAAAATTTATTTCAAACCCTTATACCAGTTATTACTCCATTCTTCTAAAAAAATGACTGTATAATGCTTTTTGTGTGTAAACGTAGGCGTCTGTCAGAATCTATTTTTCTGTGAATTTGACATTTAAAGTGCATTTAAATGCATTTACATTGAACAATGACACCTACTTTAAATAAAATCATAAATTATTTTGAGTCAGAAATGTAAAACACGCACATATATTTCAAGGCTTCTCAATTTTCCCGCTGTGATTATCTGATGGAAAATGTAAGGTAACGGAATTTGGTGTCGTCTGCCAATAATATGCGGAAATTTATCTCAAAACCACAATTTTGTTTGAGGAAAACGACATGACGTTTCTAGGGTGTGATATACTGAGAAATGGCAAAAGAGGTCGAAAATTCCCATCATTTCCTTATTTCCTCAATAAACCTTTACTGCCTTTCATTAAAGGCGTTTGCACGATAAATATTCCTCACTGGTCCAAGGCCCTGAATGCTGGGTGGAAGTCAAATTTTGAAACCTTTTACCGGTATATGGTGACGACTCTATATGAGTGAAACATGTGCGAATAGTTTATATAACAAAAACAGACAGTCAATCAATGAAGAAAACAATAAGAAAGAATTATCTTTGTTGGAATTAATAACATACATTTATATTTAGATTATCAGTCCTAGATTTACTAATAAAAATAAAATATTCTTCAAAATTACACAAATTAAAACAAAAAGAAAAAAACAGTATATCAAACCAAAAGGTCTATTGAAAAAACTATCACTAGGAGTTAGAACAAAAACTTAACTCTATTAAAAAGAAATTGAGATTAAGCGTAATATAGGGGTACATGTACCAGACAAACAGGAATATCCGTAAACAACTCAGCACTGTTAGATGTACGAGTACCTGGCGGCTCTTTGTTTTTGCGTTTTATTCATCAAAAAAACTTTACATTTGAAACAGCTTATCTTATCTGGGAAACACCCATCTATTTATTATAAAACCTTGTGTAAAATAAAGAATAGGAAATACAATTGCTAATAAATTATTTCGGCTCTGCGGTTTACGATTTTGAACTATATTTGTTTGCATATACATGTAGAGATACATACATCTAATAAGAAACAAGTTGTGCTGTGAAACACTGATAATCACGGAATGTTGTGGTACAAGGAATATACACTTGTGAAGTAAAAAAGCACTAGTACCATCGGTTCAAAAGCGATAGTCACGTTAAAGGTTTTTAAGTGAGTGAAACTTAATTGTCAGCCATAAAATGTATGGCGTCACGTAGGGGAAATGATAAAAAGTCAAAAACACGTGAATGTTGATGATGATAATTTTGTGATAAAATTTTGTAGTGCCATACGATGCATTAGAGTTATAGACATCGTTTTTGCACATTTGCAGTCAGTATAAATTTCCTGTAATCGTGGTATGGCTGACGGAAGCTACTGTGGGTTTAATAATTGAATTCAATATTGCATAAGTGAATAAAAAGGCAAAAATATGCTGCTGTACAGATTGCTTTCCAACCATATAAAGTTTTTTGGATTGTCAGAGAGTTAACTTAAAATGTTTCCAACCAACCATGACGGTGATGTTGGCGCGTAACAACGTCACAACAAGAAAGGAATTTTCATCATGCCACCTCGGTTATTGTCAAGACATTATCACTGAAATTGATATTTCTACAGCAGACAATCATATTCATTTTTTTCACCCTAAATTGACAGAAACTCTCTGCTCTAATTTGGGCCGCGAGCTTGGCCACTTTACGTCGAGTTTACTCTCAAACGCGCACGTACGCGTCGTTTGCGTGATCTTTTTTAGCATGTTTACACTGAAAAAATGTAGCTATTGTTTGTCGAGACTTTTGTACAAACATTCACGTGTACCGAACCTGCTGGATTCTGTACTTTCTATCCTCGATCGAAAATTCGTGGGATTCGATTGGGCGGGGGGATATGCTGGCTTTGGAATAATACAGCTAATCTCAGCCATTAAGACTACAATCGGAAGGGTTGAATAATAATGCTATGAAAAAGATAAATGCTCTGGTGAACTCAAGGCACGGGAATATCAAGTTTGTTAGTGATGCGAAAGGGAGATTTTGAGAATTTTTAGTTTTATTTTTGGGGGTGTTGACATATTGATATCATTATCTCAGGAATTATCACTCAAAATCAAACAAAATTTTGTTAACTTATTGATTAAATATGAATTAAAATGTATGATAACAATACTGGAAAGCATACTCAAAATAATAGTTTTGATTTAATTCAAAAGTTTAATATGCGTTTCTTTATCCTTTCAGTATATAAACGTAAACTATAAAAACCCAAGCATCAATTAAACAAAAGTTAATGTTAAAACTTTCCTAAAATTTTTGGTAAAAGTTAGTAAACTTCTAAAGTCTCGGTCATGAAGTCAAATTTGGGGGTAACGAAAGAAAGTTCTTCGCATGTGAAATGCCGGAATGAAAGCCATAGCTCCAATCACTTAAAAGCTATGATCAAGGCAAATTCTTTACGGACAAACGGACAGAAAGACAACTCAACAACTTTATTCATCCTTATCTTCAACTAAGGGAAAAACATACACATTATACACCTGTACATAATGAACGTATTTTAAAGAAGTAAAATATGTTATTGATATCTATCTTTGCTAATTCATGAAGAATTGAACTTACAGTAGGATATCACTATACAAATTTAAATAGCAATTTAGCAATGATAAAAAAGAATAATCGGCAAGAATAATTACCAAAAAAGTAATTTAAACCTATATGTATCCTATCATTAGAAAAAAAAATACTTGAAAGAATTGTTGCATCAAGTGCTCAAAGCAAAGAGATGCGACCTTATATAGTGCATCACGCCATTTGTTTATCAGTCATATGACTTTTTATAAGCCTTGTTTCATTACAGTGGCTAGATTGATATTAACAAAGATTACAAACAGTAGTTTTACTGTGTATCAATTTTTGACTTATTTCTTATGTTGCATTTAGGCAGATCAAAAACAAAGCCACCTGCTTCTGATTTACTATGATTTTATTATCATTATTATTATTATTATGATTTATGACATACTTTAATCAAATGTATTAAAGTATAATCTTTGTTTACAAAATGTTAACAAATGCATAAATCAAAAATAAGTCTAATTAAACAAATTTTTGTGCTTGCGCGTTCTGAATAAAACCCCATATAGTGATATAAAAATTAATAGAAACATTTATCAGTTTTGTTTGATAAACAGAGAGTTATTGTAAACAGTAAAAGATGTATGAATATTGAAAATATACTAGTTATTTAATATCAGCATAATGTTCTATCACTAGTCCAAAATAATATAGAAATTCCCTTATAAAAATATTTTCTCATAAAATATACACATGAGATATCGCAACCACTTGAGTATGACACCGTATAATCTCTTCAAAACAACCACCATTTACACAATTTATTTGAGCAAAAATATATTCCAGATAAATCATATTTGATTTTAATGAGCAATGTACATAATGTCTATACGATATACATGTACATGTACTCTCATCAATACTCAAAATGCTTTCAGAATTAAATATCATGGAGATATATTTATCGAACAGTAGTGAACTTCAGCAGTCAACTAAAACAATAGAGATCAGAAGCAGAACCATTGTGAAGAGTGATCGTCCAATATTCCCTTTATTCTTGAATTAAAGGACGTTAACTGTGCTTCCTGAAGACCGTGTTGATGATAATAACGACATTCTTCATATCTTGATTAACTGAGCCAATGTTCCTTTCCTCTTTTTCAAACGATCTTCAATTTTATCGATCCTTTTGG